GGAGTGACCTCACACGAGCAGCAGAGCCGTCGTGATCTTAAGATGAGCAAGACAGGTCAAACGACAGGAGGCTGTTCGGCCCACCTTGCTCATTGCAATTAGAGGCGAATTGATTAAAGGGTCTCATACAGCCGTTTCCTGCAAGAAACCGGGGCTTCGGCTTCAGCAACATGGCCGGGCAGCTCGTTCCACACCCCCACAACCATTTGTGTAAAGTGCCTACTGTTCTAAGTTTTAACTGTACTTCCAATTGTACTCCAGTTGTGCACAATACCCTGCATGAGGCCTAACTTGTAAATTCTACAAATTTATATCACAACACTACACAAATTCTACACTTGAAACGGTGTATCCTAACGTATCGTTTATTTTTATATTGCTTTCCCACATTATCAGGGAGATGCAATGTTGTGTCAACATAAACACCCCAGTCCTTTTCATACCTTATCTCTTCCAGCTCAGTGTTTCCCATTTTGAATGAGTAGTTTATGTTTTTACTACCTGCATGCAAAACCCTGCACTTGTTTACGTTAAACATCATCGGCCAGGTGTCTCTGGGGTCCTGGCTTCTGTTCCAGACCTGGGTTTCTGTCCGTGCAGAGTTTGTGGGTTAATTGGCTTCTGGGAAAATTCACCCCAGTGTGAATGTGTGTCTGTGAATGCTTGGTGAGGACTGGTGTCTTGTCCAGGGTGTGTCCTGCCTAGCCCCCATTGCGTTCTGGGATAGGCTCCAGTTCCCCTGTGACCCTGAACTGAAAGAAGTGGTTAGAAAATGGATCGATGGATCTTCTGCTTCTTCGGTGTTTGCTAACCTACCTAATTGGATACCAACTTTAGCAGAATCTAGAGCAGTGACATAAATTAAAGAAGAGCAGTGGTCCCAGTACAGCACCCTGTGGTACTCCACTAACCCTTCCCCTGCGACACTCACAGCACAGGAGATGACACTCAGTTTTCAAACACGCTAAGTTTATAGCACGTTTCTGAGACATTATACACTGCCTGCAACTGCCACCCCACATGACAGCTGCCACGACAGACTGAAGTGGAATGATTGTTGTCCTCCTGTATCGCCCCAGGAAGCTGTCGGCTGGGAAACATGTGTTTCTTGCCTGAGGTTAAGGCGCGTCTGAGCGCACGTTTTCTGAGCTTTCAGCAGGTCAGCTGGGCCCGTGGGCAGGGAATAGTAGAGGTGAGGGCAGGGCAGACTCTGACCCACCGTGCTGCTCCTCCGCAGGTCACAGAGAACCCTGACCTGCAGCCCTCCTCTTCGTCCGAGAGCAACGAGGGGATTGTGGGGGCGCTAATGATGGTCATGCAGAAGAGGAGCAAGGTCATCCATTCCTCAGGTGAGCGCGGAAGTCAGCAGCTTCTGGAGTCACATAACATGTCCTCCCCGGACTGCACAGCGAGTCCCGGGCTCCTGCAGTTCAAGAGAGCGGATTCCAGCCGCTGGTTTGTGTGAACTGAAGGCAGGGGGTCACCCGCCAGGCACATTCCCCAGAGGATCGGTGCATTTGTGTCACGGCCCAGGAGACAATTCTGTTTTCCCAGGAGGCGGGGGACTGAGGAATCTGTGTCTGTGCAGATTCTCAATCAGACACCAGTTAGAGAAGCAGAGCTGGAAACTGAGCCCTGCAGCATCTGCTTGTCACTGACTCCCACTGGGAGTTGGGATGGGAGCAGCAGCTCCTTGTCACTGACTCCCACGGGTTGCAGCAGGTCTTCCTGGCTCAAGTATTAGCTGATCCGTTTTCCTTCTCTGTTCTGTTTCAGACGAAGGTGACGACGACGGAGCCGATGATGAGGACGATGATGAGTGGGACGACTGAATTGAGTTTTTTTTTTATTTTTCCTTTTTCACCCTTGTCTAACTGACCTGCGTCCTGGACCATCAATCGAGGGCGACAGCTCAGAAGAAGTCGGATTTTTCGGCGCAGGTTTTGGAACCGGCGTTATTTCCAGCAGGAAGTTAGAAGGGAATAACATGTCAGTATCTCAGCTCTGCGTTAAGACCCCGTTAACACTCCCACCCCTGAACGTCTTGCACTGATACAAACCTCCAGGCTGCAAAGCTGACAGCTCTCTCTCCCAGGGTCCGCTGTTCGTGTGTCTAAAAGAAATGTGGCTTTGCAATTTCGACGTCCTGTACCTTCTTAACACTTACTAGTGTGAGAAAGAAAGGTTACAACCGAGGCACAACCACTCAGCCCAACTTGCTCGTTTGGCTGCTATCAGCTTAACGACCCAAAGTATCCCATCTGCCCTACTAGGGTGTCAGGGAGTTAGATCCAGACTCCTACAACTCTCTGTGTAAAGAAGCTTCATTTCTCTCTGTTCTGAAGCTTCATTTCCACCTGGCTTGCCCTCTGCCTTTCAGGATGTTGAGCCCCCGAACCGAGCTTCTATCTCAGGGGTCTCCAACCCTGGTCCTGGAGAGCCCCAGTCCAATCCACCCTGAAACAACTGTTATTTAGAGATTAGGCACACATGTTTAACAGTTGATCAAACAAACGAGTAGTGTTTCAAGAAAGGGAACCTTGGTCCTTCAGCGCTGAAGGATATTCTGATTTCAGTTCCAAATCATCTCCAAATGATTGAACTGAACACCACCCCCCTGTTTAATTGTTCCAGGCCTTTAGAAACTGCCTCTGAAGCTTACTGGAAAGCTCCCCAGTTCCAGTGTTGGAGACCCCCACGCTGTGTAATAATTTCTGCTTCATAATTACCACGACAGCATGGAAACACGCACCCATTCCCACTTCCACTCGGATCCTGATCACCCACACACGGGGCGCTTTGAGCTCAGCAACGTCTAGGGTCCACTGCGTGCTACACGCCAGGGGACACGCCAGGGGAACATGGCAAGCCCAGACTGAGGCCGGACTGCTGTTGCAAAACTGAACTCTGTCCCCTGCAGCTGCGTGGAAGACTGTTCCCCAGAAGCATTTCATACAATAAAGCCTTAACTTTTCAGAATCTCCAAACAGTAATGTTTCCTAATTATTGCACAACTGTAGAGGTGTGATGTGTCATTGGAAAGTGTGCCACACCTCGTTGGTCTCCAGTGCTGATGTTATAAAAGTCTTTCAGACTGAAACGTTTCCTATTGGGGGTACTCCAAGTTGCACCCACCTCAACAATAACCTATTTGTTTAATATGAGCTATTGAACATGTGTTTGACAGAACGTAGCACTTGCGGACTGTAGCTGGACTCCATTGCTGTCTGGTTGTAAAGACGAGCACGGATATACAGTTCATCTTCAACATTGAGATTGTACACAGCCCACAGTGCCCTCTGGTGGTCGAGAACGGATACTGCGAGTTGGTCTAGTACTGCGTGTTGTCTGAGACCTACATGCAACAGCCCAGGGGCACAGAACGTGCTAAACCAGCCAGGAAAGGTGCAGGTTATCAGTACTCATCCCTCATGATACCATGACATCTGCAAACCAAATCCCCGCCGTAACTGAGAGACGTGAACACAGTATGCATGAATATGTATTACTGTTTTTGTTTAACAAAATCAGCAGTGTCTGTGCTCCTTCGGAAGGTTTAAAGCAGTAGGACAGGTCCCGGGCACCCCCACACATGCAGTTTTTTAGACCATCTGACCCCCCCCATTAAATAACCGCCCCCCTAACCGACACAATCAGAGGTTTAACCTGAACTGTAATGGGATTCAGTTTGTAAACGACTAGGAGGTCACCGAGGTTCTTCGTTATTTAACATCTCCAGTCTTGAAGCAGAGCTAAAACCTCGTAAAGACCCCAGAACAGCGGGCTATAGTCTGGCGAGGAGGTGGTGTGATGCGATGCTGACATATATATATATAAGAACAAACATTTTATTGCATCTTTGGTGGACAAGAATGATATCAGAGAGAATTTACACCCACAGACTCGTGGAAACGGAAGCTGCAGTATCGTGTCGATTGGGCACTAGCAGAAAACCTCAAAAGGTTTAAGGTTTCTTTTATATAAAACAAAAAATATACAAAGCACATAATATAATAACTGCGTTATCTCAATTTAACCACTGGAGGGCGGGGGAAAAAAACCTAAATATATATCAACTCTAGTCCGCATTTTAAAAATAGAAGCATTGTAAGGCTTGGAATTAGCTAAGCCCTTTAAAACATAAATCCATATGTAAATAAAAGTACGTGCTTTTAAAAACGTCTGTTAGTTTTATGCAAATCAGAAATTGCGTGTTTACTGTGCAAACGCGCCTGACACTCGCACACGCTTCTCGCTAGGCCGCACAGCGAAAACACACAAAACAGCCCCCCCCCACCCAAGGTCCCGCCCTCGGCCTCCCCCCATTGGCCAGACGGACTTCTCAATCCCTGCCTATCATCCCCGAGGGCGCTTTCCATTGGCCACACGCCGGTTGTCGGCCCCGACCAATCCGCGACACATCACGTGGGTAAACAAACCCCGGCGGCGGCGACGCTCCGCTGTGATTGGCGGAGAGGTTTCGGCGCGGCAGGCCGCAGCCAATGAGGCGGCCGCTCTTTACAGAGCAAGTGGGGGTGACGCGGGGGGGGTCCGGCGCAGCGCGATACGGGATCAGGGATGGCACCTTAAACAAGCTGGAACAAACTTTTATCAGCAGGGCTGCGCGCTCAGAGCCCGGACAGGCTAAGAACGGACACCCAGCCATGCCGTGGAGTGGCGACCCGAAGTAGGCTTTTCCTCTCCGTGGGGTTTCGGTCTGGGGTGGGAAGTTGCCGCGTTAGGGAGTTGCGATATTTTGGCTGCTTGCTTTATTTTTTTTTTTAAATTTAATTCCGCGTTAAGCGGTAAGGATAATGAGCGACGTCTCAGACGGCGAGGAGCCGACCTCAGGGAAAAGGCGGCGCACGTCCCCGGGGCCCGGGCGCTCGCCCCCGCCGGCCAAGGCCGCCCGGGTGGACGGGTCCGAGCCGGAGTCGGCGCTCGCACCCCGGGGCGAGAACGGGGAGCCGGAGGCGAGAGCCGGGGCGGCCGAGGCTGAGCAGCTGCCTGGGGAGCGCGCCTCGGCCGCGGCTACCTCGGCAAACGAGGAGCGGAAGGGCGGGAGCGCGCCTTCTCCTTCCTCGGCCGGCGGGGGCGCGCCGGTCCCTGCGAGCAGCTGCGGCGGCGGGGGCGCGCCTTCCTCCTCCGAGGCGCCCGGAGCAGCGGCGGCCCCCGGCGGGAGCGCGCACCTTGAAGAGCCCTCTGACTGGGCGGCCATGGCGGCGGCCGAGGCGCTGGCCAGCCTGACGGGGGCCGGGAGGGGGGGAGGGGTGCAGGCCGAGGCGCAGGAGGGGCCAGGCGGCGACGACGACGACGACGACTCCAGCTCTCCGGCGCTGAAGAGGCAGGGAGGCGGGAGTGGGGTGCAGCCAGGGAGCCCCACTCCTCCAGGGGCGTCTGCTGCAGGCCCGGGCGGAGAGGGGCGCGAGGAGGGGGGCGAGCCGGCGGCGGACTCGCCCGGCGGGCCCTCCAGCCCTCCTCCGCGCTGCCAGGAGGACGCCGAGTGCGCCATCGTGTCCGTCAAGGTGGTGCCCGAGACGCGGCGCTCGGTGGCTCTGCTGGCCCGGGTGCAGGGGTCGCTGGAGGCCATCGAGCGGCGCGCCGCCCGGGTGTACCGCCGCATGGAGCTCAAGTTCAACTCGCTGCGGCGCCCCCACCTGGAGGAGCGGGGCAACATCATCCAGACCATCCCGGGCTTCTGGGTGACGGCCGTATCCTTGACAGCGCCCTCCGCCGGGCACACGCGTCGCACACGCGTCGCCTGCTCGCGGTCCTCGGCTCAGAATGAGGGCTCCTCTCTCGTGTGCGGGGAAGAGTTGTGTTGGATTTCTCACCTGCATTTCCTTTCCTGGCTTTGGCTCGATCGCTCGCTGGTGGAGCCTTGCAAGGAGCCCAAAAGCTTAGAGTTCAAACCTTTAAAAGGGTTTTGGGGGTGTGGAACACGCTACCCAGCCTCGGTGTTTGAGGCCGATACCCTGGCTTCTCTCAAGCGCTGGCTGGGTCAGACCCTTGGGTCAGTTAGCTATTAATTACTCATTAATAGGGGATGATGCTCTCACGCCCTTATGTGCTCCAGCGTGCAGAGCGGACAGGGAGACTCGACCTGCTGTTTCCATCCCTGGGTCCTGTTGTTAAAGGCCTGTTCCCCAGCCGCCACATCATTGCTTTGCTCTTAGTGGGCCCTCTGTCTCCTTGGTGTGTCCCAGGAGTGAGCTCGTGTCCCTCTCCCAGCACCGCTTTGACAAGGCTCGTTTTCGGGACGGAGGGCCTGTGTGTTGTTGCACGAGCGAGGTCTGGAACACAGAATCGCATTCGATCTCTTCGGAAAGACCGTTTGTGTAGAGACGTCTCTCCTTGAAGGTGCCTGTCGTAGGAGAGAGTTAGTGTTTATGCTGACATTTTTCTATCCATCTATTCTCCAGCGGCTTTATCCAGCATACAGGTGGATAAGCAACAGGTGCAAAGCTGGACACACCCTGGACAGGACACCAGTCCGTCGCAGGGCGCACACAGACACACACAGACACACAAGGGTACATTTTCCCAGAAGTCAGTTAACCCACCAGTATGTCTGGATTGTGGGAGGAAACCAGGTGAACATGCAAACTCCACCCAGACAGCACCTCAGGCCCAGATGTGAACCCAGGGCCCCAGCGCTGTGAGGCAGCCATGCCGGCCTCTGTCGCATCCTGCTGCCCAACGTTTTTCTTTTGACTAGCTAAAACAAAACATTGATCTTTACTTTCTTATCCCGTGCCGGGTTCCGACAGAGTTCTCCGTCCCGGAAGTGGGCCCCTCTCCCTGCGGAGGTCGGACCCTGACCCTGCAGACCCCGGCTCACGAGC